GGGTGCTTAACCACTGAGCCACATCCCCAGCCTTTTTTTTTTTGTATTTTATTTAGACACAGAGTCTCACTAAGTTGCTTAGGGCCTCTCTAAGTTGCTGAGTCTGTCTTTGAACTCCTGATCCTCCTGTCTCAGCCTCCTGAACCACTAGGATTACAGGTGTGCACCACAGTGCCTGGCTGTTATTTGTATTTTATCACAATAAAGCTCAAATAACAGAGCTCCACAGGCAGAGGAAGTATGCTTGCCCCTTCAGCTTAGAGTCCGTACTCCAGTCCAAAGGGACATGCAAACCAAAATTTTAACAAATACTTACTTATGTCTAAGGATGCCCAATACCTAGCTGATCTTTATTATCTTGGTAAAAAAAAAAATCAAGTAGATACTAAATAACTGGTCTGCTTGCTTGTTCTGCTGATTAGTCAGTGGCCTTAAAAAGGTTCCCAACAAATATGATGCCTGGCATGCTACACTGGCTACACTGACATTCTTCCACTTAACAATGACAGATTTTACAAAAAGATGTTTTAGGAAGCACAAATCCTTTTAAGAAGAAAAACTATTAAAAATTAAAATTAATGAAATGTAAAAAAAAAATTCTAGCACAAGTTGTTTAGAAAGACATTTCTGCCAAAAAGTCACCTAAAAATGCTTTAATAGAAGTTTTTTCCCCTCCATATCAGAAAAATAGGGATGATGTGATGTAATTTCTAGACCATTTAATATCAGAAAGAAATTTAATATGAATTTATCCAAAGCTAAATTTTTCCTGAAACATAAGGAATGATTAAGAGTCTTTCATAAGATTGATGAGGCCTAGGTTCTAGCAATTAAAAATGAACAGCATCCTAAAGATGAATTTGTATGCCTAGCAGTTAACTTGGAAATAAATCTCTTAAGTTGTTTCAGGAAAGTTAGAAAGCAGATAAAAATGCTTTCATGAAACTGACCCTAAGTAATTCCAAGTCTGCTAAAGTAGTAATTTATTTCAGTTTGTATCATGTTAAAACTTGGACTGAGGTTTTAAAAAGCCTGTCAACTCCAGGATTCTGATGGAGCTTTAGATGAGAACAGGGAAATAAGAAAGATAATGCCTTGCTGGAAAACAGATGTACAGTCACCACATCAGGAGCAGGTATTTTAAAAGCCACATGAGTTGGTGAAAGTCCAGTGAATAAAGACTGGTTACAGGCATATGGCCCTGAGGGACATACATAGAATTTTGACAAAGTACAGGAAACACAGGTTCTTTAAATCTATATTTATGTCTATCTATTTATCTATTTATGAATTCATCCAAACAATCCAGGAATTTGTAGAGGGAATTCAAGGGTAGAACTCTCATGGGATGAGATGAGGATAAGTCTGATCTTGGCCACAGGTACCTGAAGGCAGTATAGAGGAGGTGGGAAAAGGTAAAGATGAGGAGAAACAGAAGTTGGAAATCAAGAACTTTAGTTCCAGTGGAAACCAACCCCAGAAATCAAGAAGAAACATGAAACCTCAGACAATGAAAGCAAAACTAGCAGCAGATCTGACAGGATGCCAGGCAAAAGAATTGCAGACACCACCTGACTGAACATGGCATAGAAAAACACCAAAAGCGAGTTGCTTTGATGCTAATTAGAGCAACTGAGATAGGGGCTTCTGTTTTTGGATTCCAGCTTACACTGTGAAAGAGACCACGATATGGGCATCCTTGCCAAGAATGTTCTTCACTTTAAGTTTGCAGGTACATGTTTGTTTTGCTGCAATCTCATGATGGCGTGGCACAACCTGTCCTTGTCCAAACATTTCAACAGGGTTGGTTAATCCCTACTGAGCAATCTGGGGAACAATGACACCTACTGTTTGAGCTACTGTAACTGCAATAAACTTGACACAGGGATGGTGGCAGGTGTTGATTTGTAGCTACTATTTCCTTCCTTTTCAAAGAAAGACAAATGGTTCTCTGTTGATTTAGGCTAAGCTAAAGAAGTAGCAGTTAGAAAAGACAGAGTTGTTATCACAGCAGATGTTTGATTTAGAATAAAAATGAGTGCCTGACTCTAACAGCCCTACTTCATTACAGAAAGGATGGAAAGCAACTGAAATGTACAATAGACTAACATGTAGTTCAGCAGTCACTTTTAAGAGAAAATTTCAAGCTGCAGAAACCGAAATTCTATAAGGTGACAAATGGAGCAAGGTAACAATTGCATGTGCCCTGCATCTCTGCCCCTACCAAGACACCAACACTGCTTATCTCCACTCCAAAAGCTGGGTTCCCGTGATCAACTTTTATCATCTACTCTCCTTCCTTTGAGACTAGGGGGCTGCTCTGTTCTTATCTTCTGTTTTCCCTGAGGACTGCCCACTCCAAGACTTATAGTAACAAAAGTTTATTGTTGCACCTCATGCTGACCTTTCAGAATTAACCACCAAACTGAACACCTCACTACTGACCAGTTGACCACCCCATCCCCTCTGCCTGGTTATTCATGGGTGAATGTATCTTCTGTGAGTACCCATCTCAGCAGATGTGTCTCATCTCTTGATTTCTCCTTTTGAGAAAACCCTGGCCAATCAATACTATCAAAATACCATATATAATTCTCAATATTCCTAGTCAGGGCAGAGAGCAGTCTGTAACTATCAATTGCTTTTTGCTTTCTAAAGACATGCAATGTTATTCTGAATTTAAAAGGGCCAGTATAATTTCTCATCATGTTAACAAATCACTTAGGAATGCCTGAGTCTTGCAATAGCTCCCCTTTTGAGCATTGCATTAAAGGACTCTTAAGTAATAAAGTGGGAGGGAAAGACAGAAAAGACAAGGAAGCTACAGAAATGTATGTAAATATATTTAGAACATAAAGTGTGCACTAATTTATAATTATCAGTAGACATGTCATGTTTCTAGTGCACCCCCCCTCCCCTGCCAAATCTGGAGCTTAATCACAATTAACAATCATGTTTTCTTTCTTCTAGTTAAATGTTATATGCTAGAATAACCCAAGTCTGTCTAAAACCAGCCATGCAAATAATTGAAAAAAAAAAGGCTCATGTTTTATTAGATTCTCCCTCCTTCATGTCAAGCGGGTGATAAAAAAGTTGAATTAACTTGTATCAAACTAATTCTTACATTATTTCTAAGACTATCATATAATGTTATTCAGAAAAAGAAACTATTTTTAAATTTTAAATTTCAGACTAAAAACTTACTGCTTCTGCATTTATGAAA